ATTCTGGATGTTGTTCTTTCCAGAACTGGTGCATTCGTTTTAGATATCCTCTTCTTGTTGGACTTGATCTGTAGTAACAGATCATTATTTCTTTGTTTTCCATCACTGTGTATCTGCGACGGGTAAACACCTTTTCTTCCAGTAGTTCTGCAGCTGCTGGCCCTGGTTGCTCAGCCAACAGTCCTGAGTCCTGTAACCCATTTTTCACCAGATATCCAGGAACTCCAATATCTAGCGCGGACCTTGTTAACCCGGGCGACGTCCGAGTTTTTATTATTATTATTATTATTATTATTATTATTATTATTATTATTATTATTATTATAAAGTTGGAAGGCACCTTGGAGGTCATCTAGTCCAACCCCCTGCTCAGGCAGGAAACACTATACCATTTCAGACAAATGGCTGTCCAGTCTCTTCTTAAAAACTTCCAATGTTGCAGCAGTCACAGCTTCTGGAGGCAGCTTGTTCCACTGATTAATTGTTCTAACAGTCAGAAAATTTCTTCTTAGTTCTAGGTTGCTTCTCTCCTTGATTAGTTTCCATCCTTTGCTTCTTGTCCTGCCTTCAGGCGCTTTGGAGAATAGCTTGATTTCCTCTTTGTGTCAGCCCCTGAGATCTTGGAACATTGCTATTATGTCCCCCCTCATCCTTCTCTTCATGAGACTAGACATACCAATTCCTGCAACCATTCCTTATATGTTGTAGTCTCCGTCCCCTGATCATCTTTGTTGTTCTTCTCTGTACTCTTTCTAGAGCCTCAACATCTTTTTTACATCGTGGTGACCAAAACTGGATGCAGTATTCAAAGTGTGGCCTCACTAAGGCATTGTAAAGTGGTATTAACACTTCAAGTGATCTTGATTATATTCCTCTATTAATGCAGCCTAGCACTGTGTTGGCTTTTTTGGCAGGTGCAGCACACTGCTGGTTCATATTTAAGTGATTGTCCATTAGGACTCCATGATTCCTCTCACAGTTACTACTATTAAGCAAGGTACCACTTATACTGTACCTGTGCATTTGGTTCTTCTTGCCTAAATGTAGAACTTATGTATGTATGCATGAATCTATGAACACAGTGTAACTTCTGAATTGCCCCAAGTACATGACTCTAATCAGGGAACAAGATCAATAAAATAATAAAAAATGGCCATCCTCCTCCTCATCTAGTTTTTAAAAGCAGCAAAGGCTGGATAAAAAGGCAGGATTTTTCGAAAGCTCCCTAAAAGCTGGATGGGAAAGCCCAACCACATATATAGGGTTAACATGTTTCAGAGAGTTGGGGCCCTAGATCTGATCTATGCCCCTCACTCCTGGGAAGCATACAGATCAAGGCCTATTAACTCATTGCCTCTGTTTTTTAAGAGTTTGATAGTTTTCTTATTACTTAAAATGAATTTTCCCCAGGGAACCATTGAAAAATAATGTTCCCATGATAAAATCCTAAACAACATGCAAGTTACTATTTTTTTCCCTTTTTTATCTTAAATCCAGCATTTTCCATTTCAGAAATATCCAGAGATGCATTTTGCAAATTATACAAATGTTTATATGTGTGTTTGCTTAATTTATATATACATAATCAATCTCCCTTTATATCATACTTTTTAATGTTATTTTCAGGAAACAATTTAATTTCTAACAGAAAGGATGATATTAATAAAGCAATAAAGGAAGTCTGGTGGTAATTATAAGAGTAAAATAAATCATTACTATATAAGTTTTTGTGGATCATAGTCCACCTTCTCAAATGCATGGAATGTAATCATGTGGGGAGAATATTATATACAAATTGAAGGGCGATAAGTAGTAAAGGATAAAAGTTGATCCTCCTGACAGAAAAACTGCATAGTAAAATTTGAAAATTGCAAAGGACAACTGTTGTCGTTTATCTAACTGTTATCCTTTATCTAATTGTTTAGATAATTTCACATTAAAATGTGAATTTTGGAGATCAATCTCCATCTGCATTCTAAACTGATACAAACATTCTATCATTTCTATCCAAACATCTTTTTCATGGGTTAAAAAAAAAAGAGGGGGGGGCTTATTTGCAACAGAACAAGCTAGTTGAAACCTGAAATGGTAAAGCTGTATATCTTTAGACCAGACATGTCAAACTCGTGACGTTATGTGATGTCGCACAACATATCGGACGGTTTTACCATTGCTGGCAATGGGGTGGGTGCGGTTTCCGGATGATGCATCTGACCCGGCAGTTTGACACCCCAGCTTTAGACATATGATGAGTTACTTGATTGTTCATCCAAAAGAGTGCACATGATGAGAGTGCATTAGTGTACTATATGCAGAGTTATATCTTTGGTAAATTGTGAAATCTTGGCGTACTAAGAGCTTACTCCTGGTTAGTATCTAGGCTTTCTGTTTTACTACTGCCTTTACAGCTACAATTCTTCTAGAAGGCATACATATGACTTATTAATGCTGTTCATTCTAATCTGAAAATTATTGGGTAATACTGGAGGCTACAGTAGGGTCTATGGCTATTAATTGCCAATTCTTATATTCATACTTCATGCCCATAGAAGAATATGCCAGTAGTCTCTTATCCTTGGCAAAATAATCCTAAAGTAAAACTTTAGATGTTAGTCAGTTTCTATGGACATAATCATCATTGAGAAGGGGTAATATATATTTGAAACTTCATTCAGGTATTGACACTAATGCTTCTTGTTATAATTATAATTTGGTTTCTATAAATGATACAGTGACCCAATAATTAATTTATCATTTTAAAATAGATGCAATATTGCAATCACTTCTAGCTTCTTGTAATATATCTGCATAAAAGGAAATACATTCTTCTACTCATCATCATTGGATTATCCCCTGCTCTTGAATCTACTGGTAATTGTTATAAATGATGATGTTTCCACATATTTGTCTTTGTTAAACAGAACAAAAATGTGTGCAATATTTTCATTTCCTCCCCTTTTTGTTACTTCGTTATTTCATTCAATCTATTTTTTTTCATCCAAAACCACAGCAGGTATTGATTTGCCAGGATTATTTTTTGGGGGCAAATATATATATATATATATATATATATATATATATATATATATATATATATATATATATATACACATACATACATACATACATACATACACACACACACACACACACACACACACATACACAGAAGGAATCTGGAGAAAGATTTAATATCATGCATTGACTGAAATCTGCTTATGTGTGTCTGTGATTGTGAAGTACTACAAAATCCATTTTTGTGAAATACCATTGCTTCTTTGCATTAAAAAAATCTGGAATTTACCTATTAGTAATTATTCAGTAATGATTTCATGTCTGTTTTATATCTCAAGCAAGCCAAAAAACATGGCCAGAACAAACAAGGCCCACTTAGTTATTGTGTCTATTTTTAATGTAGTCATCTTTTTGTCAAAACAATCACCTAGAACAGGGGTGTCAAACTGCTGGCCTGCGGACTGGATGCGTCACCAGGAAACTGCGCCCACCCCATTGCCGGCAATGGCAGAAAAGTTCAGATATGTCACACGATATCACATGACGTCACGAGTTTGACATGTCTGACCTAGAACAACACCAAATACACTGCATTTTATACTCACATGCAAATAATATATGTGTAGTGATTGATTGATTATGTGCTATCAAGTCAGTGTTAACTCTTAGCAGCCATATAGATAGATTTTCTTCAGGTTAGCTTGTTCCTTTTCAAGTCTTTTAACACAGTGGTTCTCAACCTTTTTAACGCTGCAACCCCTAACCGGTTGTAAGTCGAGGACTATTCAACCGGTCATGAATCGAGGACTACTCAACTGGTGCAGCACCGTTTGCAGAATGGGACTTTTGGTGGGCTCAGCAGGGCAGAGACAGCCTGGACAATTCCTATTGGCTTTTGAAAGCCAATAGAATTAGATTCTATTCAAGAGAGTCTATTCTATTGGCTTTCAAAAGCCAATAGAATAAAAGGAGTAGCACAGCTAAGGAAAAGGGGAAAAAATGGCGGACTGTGTTGTTTGGTGACCCCTGTGAAATGGTCGTTCGACCCCGAATGGGGTCCCGATCCACAGGTTGAGAACCACTGTTTTAACAGCATACCCATTGCCACTATAACTGAGTCCATCAGCCTTGTTGCTGGCCATCTTGTTCTTTTTCCTTCTATCTTTCCCAGCAGTAAAGTCTTCTACAGAGAACTAAATCTTCAAATAATATACCTAAAGGGGAATAATTTGACCCAGGTCATTTGTGATAACTCAAGTGATAATTCATGGCTGGTTTGTTCAATGATTTACAGTATTTGTTTTGCAGGATCCAATTTGTTTTGGTTCCTGGAACCAGAGGTTTAAGCCTTTCAAGCTTTTGGACTCATGCTGGAGCCCATCCTCAGGGAACTTCTTTTCACCAGAATGTGTTCTGATGAGAGAGAAGTCATATTCTGGTGAGAGAAAAGTTCCCTGAGAATGGGTTCCAGCATGAGTCCAAAAGCTCAAAAGACTAAACCTCTGGTCCTGGTGACCAACCCAGATTGGATCCTGCAACATTATCCGGGGGGCACATATATTTGTCTTCCTTCATGAATATTTGTTCAACTTGGATGATTCTATGTGTATGTTTGTGCGTGTTGATATGTTTGTGTGTGTATATATAAGCTAAAACTTTATGGGCAGATAATTGTTATTCTGGCAGATAATTGTTGCTAGTAAACTCTCATTTATGAAAGCTTTCTTCAAAGTTAGTTTAGAAAAAGGAGCATAGGAAGAGTCAGAAAATCCAATAAACTGCACCATGGTAATCTAATGTAACTGACAAATAAAAAACTCCAGCTCAGTAATGGCAATTATAATAGACTCAAAACAAACAATGTGAGACGTGATCAGAGAAAGATAAATTCAATTCTGGTGTTTGGAATATTCTGTTTTACTTATTGTTTTAGAAGTCCTTATTTTAAATGTAGAAGCCTGAAGCATGATGTTTTTTCCCAACAGATCATTGTGATGATCAGCTAGTGTCAGCCTTGTCTCAGTCATCATTCAGCAGTTCATCAGAACTGTCCAGTAGTCACAATCCAGGATTTGCAAGACTTAATCGAAGAGATGGTAAGTGTTCCCTTGGTTATTCTTCTTAACTTCATAAAGTTTACAAAAGAGATTTATGACATTGTATGTTAAATTAAAATGCCAAAATAGAAGCAAGCCTTTATCAGTATTCTGATATATTTGGTGGAGTTTAAATGCCCTCAGAAGCCGTGACTATTTCGTCTAAACACAGATAGAAGATAATCTGCATTCCCTATTTCACTTTTTACTGGAAATGTTTCCTTATCACAGATTTGAGTGTCAATTTGCAGTCAATGTTATCCAATCTGATTTATTGGGCTGTGGTCCTATTTTACAGGCACAGCAGTGGGAGGCAGTGGTAAAAGGCAAAATGTTTTTGCTCTGACAAATGAGCACCAGAAAAAAGGAAACCAGGGGAACAAGTGGTTTATGAAGGACACTGATATGAGAGTGGGAAAAGGCAGGCTGTTTGAGTATCTCTCAGATTATTTCAAGGAGATATTTCTGCAAGGCATCTTCTTTTCTATCAATTACAAGGATTTCCTGACCACTCAACCTTTTAAGATGTTTGTTAATACATGTAATTTGTGGTGCACACACATTAAATTGCAATGAAGTCTGTTAAATATCGCTAGCTGACAATCCCTGGTAGTTCTCTAGCCAATCAGAATGGAAACCTCAAGCAGTCAGCAGGAAGGCTGCCCTTGAAGCTGAGTTGAAGCTACCAGTGGTTCAAAATGCAGCACCTGTTTGCTGATGGATGAGAGCTGTCATAGCAGGAGAACAGTATGCTAAGGAGGCTGTGTTGACTGTGGATCCACCTAGCAGATATGCCTTCCGGCCTATTTGGCCCACTAATTAGAATAACATAGGGTACTTTGTGAAATGCTTTGCTGAACTTATGTTCCCATAATCTTTTCAGAAAATTATTCAGTCAAAAAAAGAAATGAGGTTAGTCTGAGTAATTTCTCTCAGATTTCAGTTTGGCTCCTTCATTCTGCTTTTGACAACTGTTGGTGGGACACCTAGCCGCTTCTCAGAGAAGACTTGAGCCGATAAGAGCTTTGCTGATATTTTATGTAAGTGTCGCTCTCAGCAAAAAAAAATTAAAAAAATAAAAAAAAATAAAAATTGATTTCATTTAAAATGGTAGTTTTGCTATTCAGATGGCTGGTCAACAACAGGCTTAGATTTAATAGGCTTTTAAATTAATCTGCAAGATAGGGGAAAAAATCTTGAACAAGCAAAATTGATGCTTTTTTTTTTTTTTACAAATCAAAGACCTTTGCAAATTCTCTCATGTACTATGACAGGTATGGCATACTTTTGAGAACTGGGAAGATTTATAATATATCTGGCTAGTTAGAATAGTGTCAATGTGTGTGTGTGTGGGGGAGGAAGCTGATAAGGTAAAGCAGAGGCAGGCATTGAATTTCAAAGACTCCCAAAAGAGAGAAAAAAGGTTTCAAAAAATACTGAGAACTGGGAGACCATAAAATGAAAGCAACTCATTCCTAATTTTTAACTCATTAGAAGAGTGTCCAATTCCGTACATCCAGCCATTGATATCATTTTCAAATTATGGTAAGCAATTATTCTACATTATTCTAAATTGATCAGGTCACATGCAGACAAGCCAATGTAGGTGATCTGGGGTCTAGAAATGAGGGCTAGGAATAGAAGTTAAAATTGTTGGGTTTTGTCTTCAGAAAAGATGACTAAACCAATTGTGGGAGACCTCTTTACATTGCTGGAAAGATGTCACACAGAAGAAAATCAAGATATGCTATATATTATCCTTGAAATTAGAACACATGAAAATGGTCATATATCTCAGAAAATCAGGTTCTGATTGAATGTTTGTGGGTGAAGGTGGTGGACTTCCTTAAAATAGAACCAGCTACAAAGGAAAGCGTTTACTGTAACTCCCTTTCAGTGTTGGATGTGTTCAAGCAAAGACTGGGCACTTTTCTGTTAAGGATCTTTTAATTTGGATTTCTGAGCAGGCGTTTGGATCCAAGGGCTCCTTCCAGTTATATGATACAATTCAATTATTTTACACAAACAAGAATTCATGGAAATGGATCCTAATAGTTTGTTTCTAAGATAAGCCCATTCACCATGGGAAAAACCATACAGTTCAACACAAATCTTCATTGGGGACTGTTTCTTTGTATCCTGACATGAATCTCTCTCCTGATATGGATAATCAGTCACTCTTGTGCACCATGTTTATTATTAATATTTATAAATATATTTGCATATTCTATATTTAAGGTTAAGTTTTATATTGATAAAATTTTACTAGAATTGTGTATTTGTGATTGGATAGTTTCTGACAGCTCTAATTATTCCTATTTATTCATCCTGTTCTATGTGTACTGAGCAAGTAAATAGTATAATTATCTAAGGATCCTTCCCCACTTGCATTGAATCATAGTACAAATACACCCTGGTAACCATTTTTTCCTGCCCTATCCCCATCTTTATCTTGTCCTCATCCTGTACAAGCAATTAAACTTCTCCTTAGTAGTTTTGGCACTAACATACTCATCCGTCATCAAACTGCAATGGTTTATCATGTATGCAGTTTGACACTTTACACCTATCATTCTGACAGTAGTTTTATCAGGGGACTGTCCACTTTAGGCTGGTGTGATTCCACTTCCTCAATAATGTCTTCCAATGTAAGAGCTAGTTTTCAAATTGATGCAAGATTCAGAGGTCTTGAACCATACACAGACTTCCCTGTTATCAATGAAGAGAACTGTCTCCTTCCCAGTGCACAATAAAACTCAGAAGATGTCTGCCCTTAGCTAGATTGAGATGCATTGGATTTAAAGGGAAAACAATTTGCTTGTTGGAATTTTTCTATCATACATATTTAGTCTTAATTAAGTGATTGCTAAAAAGAACTCTATTTGGGAAGTCATGACTAGAGAAAGAATAACTTTGGGTTCAGGCAGATTCAAATGATTTGGTAGTTATTCTGATTGGGGAGTGGGAAAGTCTGGTTCTTTCAAACTGGGGTCTATCCCCATACTCAAAATCAAGATATAAAGAATAATTCCCATTCTGCTTGGACATATAGTAATATTTATAATCAATGGCGGAAACTAGTAATGTATGAAATCATGGCTTATTTTGCCTAAATTCTACATGTTTTCCCAAAACTAGAGGATTTCACTAGTATGTCAGCACATAAACCCACAATCTCCATCCAGAACTGAATATTGTTGGAAATATCAATGTGTTGGTATTAGTTATGAAATAATTTTTATACTATTCCAGATGGCATGCTGATATTCCTACCAATTGTGAGGAACAGGTTTTGGAGGGTGATTTTACAAAGGGGCTATACTGAACCCATAGCTCAGCAAAATAGGATTCTGAGTAGAGCTGAACTTTGATGTGAGAAGAAAAAAAAAGAATATTTTATCAAACCTTCATGATCAAGATGTTTGTGATGTTATTCTATAAAATTTGTTTCATTCGATGTATAGTAGTTGTTAAAACTTGACTCAGGGTTAAAAGAATAAAAGCTTATGTCAATAGATCAAAAAGCAGATGCTGGTATTCCATTTAATTTAAGTCTAGACAAATCTATCAGTTTTATTGCAAATGTTACTGGCTATCCAGATAATCTACTCTGATAATATAATATAAAATAAATGAAAGGATGATAGAAAGATAGAACATAGTATCTAATACACAAATTATTTAGGTGAGTTGTTAGGACAAAGCAATTTGTCATGTTAATGAAATTTAACATAAGATTTAAAACCATGAATAAATTCCAGATTTTTTCTTTATTATTAGTTGTAGTTTAACAATTGAAATATTTGGTTTTAATTTTGTATGTTTTGAAAATGTACCCATGAAAAAAGAAAAAAAAAACTACAAAGTAGAAAAATCACAGGCTGGATCTAGGCTCACTAATTCTTGGATGTAAGAAAATTGCTACTGAGCCTTTAAGTACTATCTACAAAAACTACCCTATACTTACTGTAACTTATTGATTCTTTTACTTCTTCAAAGTTTCAAGTAGGAAACAAACGACTTTCATTTCTGACCAACTCTTTGAGCAGGTGAGCTTTAAAGCCAAAGCATAGTGAAAAGGTCGTAAAGAAAAATAATGTGCTATTAAGTGAAAACTGGATCTATTTTGTCTATACCCAAGTCAATAACTGTTTTCTTAACTTTGGTCAGAGAAAAGAAATATTGAAAAAGGTGTTGAGAAGTCCCAGAAAGAGAGAGTTCTATAAGAGAAATTAATTTATTGGATAAAGTTTACTGAGCCATAAACTCTCCCCAAAGTTTGTCTCAATCAAACTTGCAGGCAAGTTTCTCAAGTTCTACAGAGGTATATTCAGCATACAACAGGAAATTGCAGTGTTTTCATTAAAAGACTGAAGTAGAATAATAGATGAGTCCACTGGAGGAAGATGGCAAATAAATTTAAATCAATAAATAAATAATCCTAAAGTCATAAAATTGCAGACCTAACCAAAACCTCAGAACTGAACTGTCTCTGTTGTAAACCAGTTCAAGCATCAATTTAGTACATGGGTATACAGAGAAAGCAGTGTGCAATATCTCAGTTACAATGTCTAAGCAGCCCAAATCACAAAAAAATCTGTCTGACGTTCAAATATAATTTTAAACAGAAATAGTTAATCTTCATTTGGGGAAAATATTTTTTCAGTAAGAGCTGAGGTGGCGCAGCAGTTAGAGTGCAGTACTGCAGGCCACTTTAGGTGACTGTGTTCAGCAGGTCAGCGGTTCAAATCTCACCGGCTCAAGGTTGACTCAGCCTTCCATCCTTCCGGGGTAGGTAAAATGAGGACCCAGATTGTTGGGGGCAATGTAAATATATATATGCATTGCTTACTGGTGTACACCGCTTAGAGAGTGCTTGCACTTAAAGCGGTATATAAGTCTCATAAATAAATAAATAAATCCAGTTGTTCTCCAAAGTATTTTATATGAGAGTATACAGGAAAGCAGAATCATTGCTTGCAAATTTTGAATAAGCCCAA